GGAGAGGAGAGGAGAGGAGAGGAAGGAAGGAAGGAAGGAAGGAAGGAAGGAAGGAAGGAAGGAAGGAAGGAAGGAAGGAAGGAAGGAAAAATAGAATAGAATAGAATAGAATAGAATAGAATAGAATAGAATAACAGTAGAATGGAATGGAATGGAATGGGATAGAATAGAATAGAATAGAATAGAATAGAATAACAGTAGAATGGAATAGAATAGAATAGAATAGAATAGAATAGAATAGAATAGAATAGAATAGAATAGAATAGAATAGAATAGAATAACAGTAGAATGGAATGGCATAGAACAGAATAGAATAGCAGAGTTGGAAGGGGCCTTGGAGGTCTTCTAGTCCAACCCCTTGCTTAGGCAGGAAACCCTACACCACTTAGAGGAGGGCACCTCAGAGGTCCTCTAGACTAGGGGCCACCCTCCAAGTGATGTGTAACTTTTAGGCAAGCCTTTTTCTTTTGGCTTGTTTTTGGCTTGGGGAGGCTGGGAATGACAAGAAAAAGATACTGAGACTCTAGAAAGAGCAAGAAAGAGAATGAGGAGACCAGAGGCTAAAGAACGGTGGCAAGAACTGGGGGTGTCTAGTTTAATGAAAAGAAGGACCAGGGGAGACCTAGATGCAGTCTTCCAAGTCACAACAGTTCTGCAAAAAGTGACTTATATGACCATTTCTCCCACTTACGAGGTTGCAGCATCTCTCTGGTCACACAATCCAAATTCAGAGGCTTGGCAACCGGCTGGTATTAATAATGATGGTTGCAGTCCTTTATTATTGATAAGGGCTTTGTTTGCATAAACAGGAAATTAGAATATTAATTCCACAATAATGGAGGTGGGGGGGGGGAGGAAGAAGAGAAGGAGAATAACATCCAAGGGTCAAGCTTCAATTCCTGGTCAACAATACTTGTGAATTATACCTTTAATTATTTCTTGGATTTAATCTTTATACCTAAGGATTGGCAAGGCAACTCCATTAAGGAAATGCCAGGAAATCATGTAAATGGTAGCTCTCCAGGTCCGGACGATGCCTCTTAGTGAGATGGGTGGGCGTATAAATTTCATAATAAAATAGAAAATGAGTAAAAATAAAAAGTTGAAGCTGAGTTAGATGGAGCCCTTCCCTTGCAAAGAATCTCAGAATCTCATCCCGGGCTGTAAATATTCCGATTCAGCAATGGAGGCTTTTTAGAATCCCCCCCAAAGACAGACTCATAAATCAATCTGCAGAGAAAATTCCATTAATGTGCTTTCTCCCACGGTAGAAACCCTTGGCTGGATTCTCACTGGGTCCCACTCTGCCGAGTCATCTCCATTTTGCTGTTAGATGCGTGCCTTTCCAAAAGGTTTATATAACCCTCCGTGGCCAAGCGAAGAATGCAAGCTGGAAGGGCCTTCGGGATGTTTGAATGCCTTTTTCGAGCACTTACTGACTCAGAAGGAGAATATCGAAAGGAGCGGTCCTTGGTGCTCTCTGAGCTTGGTGGTTTTCTTGCAGACGTTTCATCATCCAAACTAGGTAACAACATCAGTGTTACAAGAGAATGGGGATTGTGGAGAGGAGGAGAAGGAAAGGGAAAGAGGAGGAGGAAGAGAGGAGGAGAAAGAAGGAGACGAAGAAAGAGGACTGTGGGGCCCTTGGTGCTCTCTGAGCTTGATTGTTTTCTTGCAGACGTTTCATTACCAAACTAGATAACAACATCAGTGCTAGAAGGGAATGGGG